ATCCAAATATTTTCTAGAATATTTCATAATATTCTATACGATTTTCCAACAATTCACGTCTTTAAGAAACTAAAATTTGGCTTAATTTCTTATTCATCAAATAATGAATTTCACTTAAATAATCATTTAATTTTCGATACAAAATTTCAACAAAAAACGTATACATACCAAATTATTGGTGCAATAAATAATTAATTAGTACAAATAATTGAGGGCCCAATAATGTGGAATTTGTTGTGGTCCTGAAAATGTGAAAATTAATACAAGAAAGACAGCCAAAGCCAAAATTGTAGATTTGTATAGATGATGTTGAAATGAGGCACGGAGGCTGTCTTCATCTCCTTCATATTCTATACTGATAATGATATACTAAATACGACTTCATTTTTTGTCTTTGTTAGGTAGGAAAAAAAATTCCCATCCTATTTAATTATTATGAGATTAATACCCTTTTAATTATTATAACAATGCATGATGGTACATGTTATAAGATATTCAGATAGTTCATTTCGTATCTTGTAAGTTTTTCAATTGAAAATCCAAGCGAAGAAAAATTTCATCCGAACGGTATCATATTGATCCAATGAAAATGTGAGAACAAAACGTCGACATCAATTATTTCCACCGATATTGAAAAATAACCCCGGAAAAATCTTTCGCAAATTAAGTACATCATTTACTGGGGTCGAAATGTGTAAATTGAAGTGATAATTAAGTGTATTTTATGCACTATCTAGACTGTTAAACATGGATATTTGGGAGTACTTTTAGAACATCGTTGTTTAATCTCATGTAAGTATTGTTTATTTAAATAAAACTAGATGCTAGATGAGATTTTGGAGAGGAGGAATGAAAACTGAGCAAAAATGATGAGTTTTGTGCTTAATTCAGAGAATGAGGACCAACTTGATATGAATTGAAAGATCACGGAATTGAATTGCAGTTACAACAAGCTTGAGTGGACCAAAGAATTGAACACAAGGACCAAATTGCATATAATCGATAGCTGATCCATGCGTTCGTAGGACAACAGCCCATGCGATTGCAAGGGCATGCTTGGCAAAAAGCCAAAAACAGTGAACAATGTAGCAGTGTCATGCGATCGCACCTCTAATTTAGTGTGTATTTTGGATCTCTAGTCTTTTACTTCTTTCGTGTGACTGAAAGATAGATATTAAGCAAATTTTGTCCTCCAATTTTAAGTCATGTGAAAATTTCAAGCAGTTATAATGTCCACACTCACAGTTTCCATTATACGAGGACCTATGTTCATATATATTATTAGGTCGGATACTCAGAACCTCACATTTGAATGATAGAGATACAAAACCACAATATTAATGATGGAAAATGCTTCTGGTACATAACTATTTATATAATGTTTCACGTAGTGATGATGTGTCAAAATGTAAGTAGGGAAGTTATTTAATTAACGAGATTTTGATCTAATTAAATTCCGTTACATCATTTGTTAGTAAACTATTATGTAAGTTGATATGTACATATAACACGTTAAAAGATTAGGAAGCACAATCTGAACCCTAATTTTTGTTTAGTGTTAGATTATTAGGGCATCCTTTTGTCTTTTTCCTTCTTATAAGTCTTTAATTTGTATTTTTTTTTTTTAATTATTTCTTTTCCATCTCCCTCTCCGTCTCCTTGTCTGAAATTTGATGTGTAACTTGGTTGTCAAGATGAAGACAAACTGGTGAATAGTTAGCTACGTGCCTTCACTGTTGTTTACAAAATCATTTTATTAGTTTTTTTTTTTTGTCATTTTCCCCTTAACTCAACCTCATCAAGTACCCAACCACGTCCATG